GAGCTTAAGAAAAAGGAAATAGAAAAGGTCCCGTATGCCTCAACGGTAGGAAGCTTAATGTATGCACAGGTCTGCACAAGACCTGATATAGCTTTTGCTGTGGGCATGCTGGGAAGGTACCAAAGTAATCCCGGTGAGGCGCATTGGATAGCTGCAAAGAAAGTGTTTAGATATCTACAGGGTACTAAACACTATATGCTTATATATAAGAGGACAGAGAATCTAGAAGTGATTGGTTACTCAAACTCTGATCTAGAAGGATGCATGGACACATACAAGTCCACAACTGGTTACATCTTCCTGTTAGCAGAAGGAGCCATTTCATGGAAAAGTGTAAAACAAACACTAACTGCTCCTTTCACTGGTGACGTTGAGTACATTGCATGTTTTGAGGCAAGCTCACAAGCAATCTGGATCAAGAATTTCATTGCGGGGCTTAAGATTGTGGAATCAGTCTCTAGGCCGATTAGAATGTACTGTGATAACACAGCTGCAGTGGCCATATCCAACAACAAAAGGAATAAGAGTCGAAGTAAATTCATCGAACTGCAGTTCCTTTGCTTGAGAGAAAGAGTTATGGATGGCCAAATTTCGGTTGAACATATCGATACAAAGAGTATGCTAGCATATCCTTTGACTAAGGGATTGAAACCGAATGAATTTGTTTTGCATGTGCCTCACATGGGACTTCATCCTTCATTTGATTAGCTGAGGTCTGAGCAATGAAATTAGTTTATGGTTTGTCATCTCTAATAATTATAATTGTATTGTTTTTGAGATTGATAAGTATGAGGCAGGAACCAAATAAACATTGAGTTTATTCATAAAGGTATACCCATTAAGTAAGGGTGCTGATTGTAATGCATGGAAGGCAATACTCGACTTAAGGGGACTTGTCGCCATGATTCTTGCAGTATAGCCTTAGCTTGTCTGCGATAGGGCAATTGACATACAGTACATGGGCCAAGTAAGAGAATGTGAGATATTTTATTATTATTATAAATTATTTAGGTATTTAATTAGGAATTAATAAAATATCCTGAGTGTGGCCTGTGGTCAGGAAAAAGGCCTAAGCCCAGTAGGGTTTTTATTTTCAGTCAGGATTATATTTCTTTGATGGTGAGAAATTAATTATTATGATTTTTGATGGCTGAAAGTTTTACAGAGCGATACATTCAGAAACTGAAACCCTATCTGCTCCCTGAGGTTCCCTGACTGGTGACGGTTGAACCCGGTTGCCATCACTGTGCCCATCTTCCAGTCAGAAGAGACCTGAATCTATTTTCTTCTGACTCTAATCTGTCTTGCAGCACTTAGATTAATCAAGCAATAGCTATGGCGAGAGGTAACTCTAATCTTAAAGTCTTTCGCTATATGTTTTATAAGAGGATTCTTTCTGTATTATCTGTATGGAATATACTTTTTATATGTTATTTTGAATCTGTCTTACAATGCAATCTGCACCTTTACCTATTTCGTTATGCAGTCTGCACTTTGTGTCCAGGAAGACGGGTTCGAGTGCATGGAGAGGGATCAAACACAGCTGGGATTTGGTGGTGTATGGGTTGAAGTGGAATACTGGGGATGGAAAATGTGTTAAGCTCTGGAAAGATAGTTGGTGTCCGGGTGTGGAGACGCTGAGTAGGGTTGCTCGACAACAAATTCCTGAGAACTTTGTCGAAGCTACTGTTTCAGAGTTCTTAGATGAGTATGGCGGTTGGAGGAAGGACATTTTGGATTACTTCCTACTATGTTGTGCAAGGTATACTGATGGTCCGTACATATATTTTTCATCAGGATATGCGGCTTTGGAAGTGGTCGGCATCGGTGATTTCTCCTTGAGATCAGCTTACGATAGCATCAGAAAGAGAGGCCCCACCAATCTGAAATGGTTATGGAAACATATTTGGAGGTTGCATGTTCCTCAACGCTGTCGTTCCTTCTTATGGTTGATGGTGCAGAACAAGATCCTGACCAATATTGAGCGTTACCAGAGAGGATTGACTTAGGAAGATACTTGTCCTTTATGTGGTACTTTTCAAGAGTCTGCTATTCACGTGGCACGTGATTGCATGACAACAACGGAGGTGTGGCTACAAATAGTTCCAACTATGCATCTTGGGCGTTTTTTCTCAATTGTTGGTATGAAGGAGTGGGTTCGTTGGAATTTGGCACAGAGCTTTGACGTGAAAGGGATCAAATGGGATGTTTTGTTTGGTCTCACTTGCCGGCAGCTCCGGCTGGCTCGCAACTCGAGGGTGTTCAAGAATGAAGAAGTTTCGTCGGATCAGACTGGGGCTACTATGCAAGCTTGTGTGAGATGGGGATCAAAGAATCTGATATGCGAAAGTACCGACTTAGCCGTGGGGGATAGATGGCTTCCACCGGCAGTGGGTTTATTGAAATGAATGTTGACGGAGCAGTGGCCTTAGATGGGATCAATACAGCTTGTGGTGGAATCTTAAGGAACAAAACAGGTGAGGCGTTGGGAGGCTTCATGTGTAACATTGGCGGTGGAAACAGTTTTACAGCTGAGGCTACTGGGCTTCTTTGGGGCCTAAAAGTAGCTTGGGATCGTGGCTACAGACAGATGGTGGTAGAGAGCGATTGCTTGGAACTAGTAGAGCATATAAATTCTTGTGGACTTACGGGGGAGCACGACGACGTTATTATACAGGAAATAACCAGGTTATGAACCAAGAGTGGGTTGTTCATCGGTGTTGGTGTGCTTGGGAGAGTAACACGGTGGCGGATTCTTTAGCTAAGGAGGCCTTGCATATTTCCAGTGGCTTCGTTTTCTTTTCTACTCTGCCTCCTCGGGTCGTGGACTTCCTGAGGAAGGATGTCATTTCTATGAACTAGTTTGAGCGCTTTGCATTATTCATTAAAAAAAAAAAATTACTAGTGAGAAGAATATAAATTAAAGTCTGATTACAAAATTTACAAAGCACTAATACCTTTTATGTATAAAAATTTATCAGATCCTTGTAATTAGACTATGATGTACCTATTTTGCAATTACCAGTTAGTTATATCCGCCAGATTAGCAGAGCCATAGCTCTCAAAAGTCAAAACAGTTCATATATTAATTCCATAATAAATGATTGAATCGCTAAATTAATTTATTTTTAATGTTATATATAGATTGTATTTATTTTGATATATTAATTTTTTAAATAGTAAATGTTCATTCACCCTTATAAGCATATATTTTAATTATTACAAGATGAGAGTGAAAAAGGACTTCGTCTATTCAATTATAATTTATAAACATATATATAAATATATATATATATATAATGGAATTAGTATCTCAGAAGAACTCTATCGTAGTTTTATCTTGTTTAGCGTCTAATTTTCTTTCCTTTGTTTTTTCAGGAAGATGAGATTAATTTCACAATTATAATTATTTTTAAAGTAAATAATACACACTGTTCTCATATGACTTTTCTTATACTTCTTTTACCTGGGATCAAAGAAACCCAAAATTGAAAATAAAGAAGAAAATAATAGAAAAGATTCGGCCTGTAAGGCTGTGAAAGCTATGCTTTGATAATACGAAGAAGTTTGGTTTGGCGGGCTCATAAATTTTCGAAGACGAATACCAAATTATGAAGGAAACAACTCACATACGTACGTACGTACGTGCGTGTGTGTCTCTCTCTATATATGGGGTGAAATATTGAAACTGTTTTTACTAATTTGTAGTTTATCCTGGTTCTTTTTTTCTTGTTTTCTAAGCAATGACTACGTAAACATCACGTAAGCATAACGTATGAATAGGACATTGGACTATGGCACATGTGTGTACATACTAATCCCTATCCTTAATATAAAAGTAAATTTGATATTTAATTTAATCCTAAATATAATATTTTAATCTATTTTATTCTTCATATTTATTTATTTTTTAAAGTAGTCTTTATAGTAGTTGCAGATGTTATATGCTTCATTAAATGATAATTCTGGCTAATACACATAATTAGTAAGGATATTTTAACGAAAACAACATCTATTTATTATAAATAACTAATTTAATTATTTTTTTAATTTATTTAGATCAGTCAACTAAGTCTTATATATTAAAGATTACAGTATATATATTTAAAGTTATCATTGAGAAAGTCAAAACATAAACCATTTGAATTGTCAAACTTCTAAATTTTTATTTGCGAGTCTCAACTCCCAGGGAGGCAGATGATGATCCCTGGATGGAAACCTCTCGTTGACTTTTAACTTCTGGATGATGACTCCACAAAGGAGATAATAATAAAATTTTAAAGTGTAGGCTGTGTAGCGACAGAAGTGAATTAAATGATTAATTTTTCATTTTGACTTTTCTTAAATATAATCACTTTCAAATTTAAAACATGTAGCATCACTTTTTTCTTCTGGCTCAATGCATCATTCACATTTGAAAATTGTAAAAGCAATTATTAAAAACCTGGTCAAGCATTTATTGAGCTATGTCCCTTTCACCTCTCATCATATATTATCAAAAAAGTTATATTCCTTTCAATTTCAATTTATACAAAACTGGATGCGTGGAGAGAAATTTTATTTACTAGATTTTTAAAATTTAAATAGATGTCAATATTTAATTATTTTTGCCAAAGATAAAGAGATAAAGAAATAAAAAGTATGTTCAAATTTTTGAAAATAATTAGAATTTGAAAAATAGCAGGCGTATGCCGGATTATTTGAGAAGTTACTTTAAGTAGCTTCAAAAAACAATCAGATGCTGTAAATGAAAAATATAAAATTACCGACATAAGAAAGATGCAATAAAATTTAAAAATAATAAAATAATAATCACCTTTTTTAATTGTAATCAAATACAAAATTTCTGCGAAATATGTATAGCTACGACTTCTCATAAACTCTTTGAACCATCTAATTAAATATCACATATTCTCTCAACTCAAACCAACCCAATATCATATAATAAATGTATCTTACATGATGTAGCGTTTTGTACTTTTATACATCCAGATCCATGTATGGCTCTGCATACTGCAAAATCCTCAAAACACACACACACACACACACATCTTTAGTTAATTTCTTCTGCTTCACCATCACCGATTTCCCTTCAGCTTCATATGACTTCTTCTTCTTCTTGGCCAGTGATGGCCTTTGCAATTGCTTCTGCTGTTTGTGTGTTCTTCAGCTGCTTCGTTGCTGTATTATCACAAGATCAAAACCTTACCACCGATCCTTCGGAAGGTACTATATATTTATGCCCCCCTCTCTCTCTCTCATATCTGTGGATCTGATATCCCTACAAAGTGAATATTCATTGATATAGGAATAACTGTTAGAGATAGGTGCTGATGAAGGATGCTGCAGATTGCTGCTGAACTTTTTCAGTTAAGGGGGCAAAAAAAAATCAAATAATATGGTTTTGTCTAACAATACCCATAATGACTTTTTTATTTGTCAGAAAAATATGATTTTTACACAGGATTTTTTTTCCTATTATGTGACTTGTTTGCATGATCAGATGATTTAAATTACTATAAATTTTTTTAAAAATTTCATATAAGTACTTTTTTTTTTTGGGAAAAATGTTAAACTGTAAGAATTTGCATAACTCTCAACAAACCTTTCCAATAATATGATAATATCTAGCCCTTCTCATCATCAATGAAAAGTCTAACATGTTATTAATAAGGATAATATTATTAATTATTAACAATTAATGGTGTGGATTTGAACACCCTCGTCCAAGTGATGTATGAGCGTGAGTAGTGTGCCAACTGAAAGATCAGTTTAATCTATCTTATACTATTATGTATAGATAGAAGCAGATTATTGATATATAGTATCGATTGTATTATTTTTATTATTTCATGATAATTATGCTTTTTATACGATAAGCACATAACTAAAAATCCTTAATATTTATAGTTGAAGTTAATTAGCAGTAAATTAAAACGGTAGATTCTCTTTACCTTTTCATCACTGTGGTCTTTGGAGCTCGGACGAATGCAAAGCTTAATAGGAATTTTTCTGTGGCATATTCAAAATTGAAACATTCTATTATTATTATATATGCAGCGAGAAGTGTGAATAGAATATTCGAGAAATGGGGGATATCGGCATTAGCAAATGTGTGGAATATCAGCGGTGAGCCATGCAGTGGAAGAGCCGTCGATAGCACCACCACCATTGGCTCCTTAAATCCATTCATCAAATGCGACTGCTCTGGTGGCACCACCTGCCACATTACTGCACTGTAAATTCTCTACCTTCATTGTTTTCTTTATTACTCCCCCTTTCATACTCTTAATATAAAAAGCTAGTTGGAAATTGTATTTAGTTCTGAATATAAAATCTTAATTTATTGTCTCCTCAATTTATAATTTATTCTCTAAAATATCTTTATCGATTATATATATTAAAACGGTTTCGATCCATGAGTATTTAGGATTACAAGAATATAATTCAATTCATATTTGTTGCAAATAACTAACTTAACAAATTTTTTTAATCTACTCAAATTAATGGAGTAGCTTTTATATTAATGATCTAATTAAGTTTTTGTCTCAATTAAAGGTAGTATTCAAAAGCAATGATGGGTATTCAGAATATTGTTTCCGGCTTAGCAATATTGCTTTCAGAAAGTGTTAAGAAATGAGCAATATCGTTATTTAACCTTCTTTTAAAAAAAACTAATGGTGCAGATAGAGATATTGCTCATTTTTTAACATTTTCAAGTTAAAAGAACTTCTAAATACTAGCGAATACTTTACTTCCAAGTTCAATCTCTGTTTTAACTTTCTTAACTTGATTTATTGATATAGAGCTTGGTTCTTTCATTTTTATGGCATCAGGAGGGTTTACGCATTGGATGTTGTTGGGGAAATCCCAGAAGAGCTATGGACTCTAACTCGCCTCACCGACTTGTATGCTTGTTTACTCCTTAATTTTTTAAGCTGGGTTTTTCCTCCAAAAAAAAAATCCTAGAAAAGGGTTTTGATTTTTCTTTTTGTTTTTTTTTTCAAGTCAATGGATTAATTTTCCTGTATTAATTTCTTATAATGCTAAAGTTTCCTCCATTGAATTGCAAGCAGGGACATTCGGCAGAATTACTTGACAGGTTCTCTACCTCCAGCCATAGGAAATCTAACTAGTATGCAGTACATGTAAGGCCTATTAGTTAATATAAATGCTTCTTGTAATGATCAATTCTAACAAATTTATGCTGTTCAGTTGTTTTGGATAGTTTATACTCATATGTTACTAATACTTCCCCTGGCCCTATTTATATAAGATTTCTCTCATGTACTATTATTGCTCCGATATATTATAATAATATATAAATAAACAATTTTTGTTTGTCTAAAAATCTAATGCATATTTTCTATTTTTATTTCCAATAAATTATATGTTTTTTCATCTCTTTTCTCTACTAACTATTTATCATCTCCTTTTTCACTTATTGTCTCTTTCAATCATCATCTTCATAAATAAGGGCGTATTTCAAAAAATCACATCTCTTGCACATCTATTGGTTTTGATTTATGTAGTTACTTTGTTACTTATATATAGGATTAGAGGGAGTATTTAAAAAAAATTTAAATTTAAATGGGAAAAAAATAAAACCATTCAGATTGATATAATGATATGCATTTATTCAAAATGACTCATTTCTGTGTCTCAAATAGGGAGAATTCTAGTCTTGCATGTTAAACTTGAATGAACATACTCAGGAACTCTCACTTTAATATCATTTAGGTCCCTTGGCATCAATTCTTTATCAGGGGAGATTCCGAAGGAACTGGGAAATCTTACCGAGTTAATAGTATTGTACGTTATCCACTTTCTCTTGCATGCAGATATTTCCTTCCCCCCTCTTGTATATGTTTTTTTCTTTTGGGTTACAAGTAATTTAAATGGCAACTTGTTTTTCTAGTAAATTCTCATTGTATCATATTACTCTGAAGTTATATTGTTTTCTTCTTTGCTTTTCCCTTCAAATGGGTTTTGTTAACATTTGGAATTGATAGAGAAGAACATTAATCAATAACTATGTAGCTTAATTTAACAGCCATTCTCTTCTACAAGATTATGATTTTTGTGAAAAATATATCCTGATAATACTTTTCAAGAGCCAATTAATTATTGTTAACTATCCAGGAGTCTTGCATCAAACAGCTTCTCAGGTTCCATTCCGTCCGAGCTAGGGAATCTGGTGAAATTGAAAGAACTGTAAGTTCCACTGTAGTATGTGCATCTACTTTTTTGTTATGACCAAATTGCATAAGCCCCTCGATGAGCATAAAAGAATAAGCTGTTTCATATCCATGAATTTTAATCCTTCATTTGAGTGTCAATAGCCAATTACCCCAGTGACAACATCACCTGCTGTTCACAACTATCTTGTTTAAACAGTGTAGTGATGCTTCTTGTTTGCCTAAAAGTTACCATTCTTGAGTTGGTACCAGATTATGTCAACTATTAAGTCCTTTTATTTACAAATGCGTTATATTACCCATTTGTCAATTGTTTGTTAGATCAAGAGATGTTATAAATTTCTTTATAAAGAAAAAGATGATATCAATTTCAATTGAACATTTCTTTGCAGCTACTTAATTAGTTCGGGACTTGGTGGTCAGATTCCTCCTACATTTGCTAATCTTAAAAACCTGCTGACATTGTAAGAGATCACATTTTTGCTTTCTTTTATCTTTCCTTTTCTTTCTTGGATATCTTGAATCATGGTGATGAAAAAATGTTTCCTGTTTGTCCAGCTGGGCTTCAGATATGGAACTCACTGGCAGGATACCTGACTTCATAGGAAGTTGGTCTAAGCTCAAAGGCTTGTAAGACTACATCAATTTCCTTTTGTTTCAAAATAATTAAGAAGTTGAATCTTTTATGCATTGTGAAGCAACATTTTCATTAAGGACTGAGCATGTATTGCTAACTTGCAAGTTTACTAGCTTTAAGGTTTCAATCAGAAGTTTCTTCTCCCTGTGAGTTTCAGGGTTTCCATGATGGATTTACAAAGGAGTTAGAAGCTCTTCTAAGCTAACAAGTATTTAGTATTAAAATATGGCTTTGGGATGACTACTTGTGTGATTGTATTGTTTTCCTTTTTATCATGGAATTCTATGAAAGTACTTGAAATAATTTATGCACAAAATTCTTTAGGATGTGAAATCTGAATGCTTATTTTGATGCTTATATATTCTGTTCTAGAATTTTGCACTTACTAAATTCAATTACTGTATATTTTGATAGGAGGCTTCAGGGTAATTCCTTTGAAGGACCAATACCATCATCATTGGGAAATCTGACTTTTCTTACAGAGTTGTGAGTGCCATCACTATTTTCTTATATTCCTTCTGTGGATTAACAAGAGCTAATTATATGATACTCAAATGTAGGAGAATAAGTGAAATATCTAATGGGACCTCCTCACTAGCATTTATAAGGAATCTGAAGTCTTTGAATATCTTGTAAGTTTCAAGGCAATGGCTCCCCCAGTGATCCAGAATCTGTCTACTAATATAGATATGATTATATTTTTTTCCCCTTCTAGAATGTATCATAACAATTTGGTTACAAATCTTGTAGAGTATTGAGAAATAACAATATTTCTGATTCAATTCCATCAGACATTGGTGAATTTCAGAATTTGACACAGCTGTGAGTATTACTTGTTTTCATGGCTCTATAGATATGTATAAACTATCCGTAAACTTAAATCTCCATTGGAGATATAGGCTGGTTACAACTAGTCGTTATTATTGCTTTCCTAGAAATCAGGGGATTAAACTTTGTGATTTCAGTTAAGTCAACATATTATTTCTATTATTTCCTTGCTTAGGCTCTTAATCTACTTATTTATGTAATTGCTCGTTTTATGAAATTTTAGCATCTGGTCTGTAGCCATCATCCCTATTAATGGCCTATCATTTGTGAATTATGTAATCAAAATTGCGTAAGCATAGCTGCCATTTTTCTTTAATTTGTCAACTAGAAAACAATATAATCAGAGGATATTCAACTAAGGGCAACCCTCAATTTTTGGTGCAAATTCTATCAAAATGAAATGTTCATCAAGCTAAGTGATTTAGGATTAGAACTTGAAATCTTTGCTACTAGCTCAAGGTAAACTTGCTAGTTCACCAGTGTTCTTCACTAATTTAGATGGTGGAACATGGTTTTAGGCAGTATCCATCTTATGCTTGATACAGTTGTCATTATAATATCTACTACTACTACAAGTCTACAACTAATAATCAATGGTCTTGAATTGTATTGGTGTTTCAACCCAGATAATTATATTATGCATGTTGGTTCTTTCAGGGATTTGAGCTTCAACTATATCACGGGACAGATTCCAGGATCACTTTTCAATCTGCGTTCACTAGCTTACTTGTAATATATATGCCATGCCTAAGTAATTAAATTAGGGATTTCTTCTCATGCTTTCATGATTGGATTACATTACATTTGCTTCTTCTCCAATTTTAGATTTCTTGGAAACAACAAACTCAATGGCACTATCCCTCCACAGATAAGCCTGTCTCTTCTCAATATGTTAGTATGCTTGACATTTGAACTCTCCAGCATCATAGTGCAGAAAAGATTGGAGCATAATATGTCATTTACAATGTACTTAACTAACTTGCATGAGTGCTTGCAGAGATTTGTCCTACAACAGTCTGTCAGGAGGCCTCCCTTTTTGGGTGAACCAACCAAATTTACAAGTGTAAGTCATTTGGTACCACCATGATCATTTCCTTCCCATCCCCATCCTTTTTTCATCACTTATTTTTCCATTTTCTATTGGTTTCAAAAGTTTCCTGCTTTACTATAACTGGAAAGGCTCCCCCACACAAACCAAGGTAGGGGGCTAAAATTACAGAGCTCTATAACATATAATCTCTTTAGTATCTACACTTACTAATTTTATGGCCATAACATTCTCTCTCAGTGATTTTTTATGATACAATAAAAATCAGTCATGTCTTTTTATCATTACTGAAGCAAATTAAAGTTGAGTTCATGCTTTTTAAAAATTCTATAATATCTTTACTAAGGTTAAGCTCTCATATTTTCAAGGTTTGCTTGCTCAACTCATGTAAGTATGTATGTCTGGTGAAACTGACATAGTGATTTTTATGGGGTATGATATGCAGTAATTTGGTTGCAAACAACTTGACAATAAATTACTCAGACAGCAGGTGATCATTATACTTTTTATTTAATGATGACAACGATGATATATATATCTACAAATACATGTATAGTAGGTGATTGTTATGCTTTTTATTTAATGATGGCAATGACGATATATATCCACACACACATGTCCTGTTTGCTAAAGGGTCTTTCAAGTAAGGGGTTATGATAAATTGAAAAAAAAATGGGTATCTCCATAAGGCTTTAGATCAAAAGAGGTAATTTTAGAGGTTTATCATATATTTTCAGTTTTGGTTGTAAGTAAAAGCATCATGAATAAAATATTCTTTATGACTCCCAATTTCTTATGCTACTTGGGAAGTTCATAAATTCACTTGCAGTGCCACCAAAGCCTTTTTACCTAGGGATTATTGTGTACAGAAGATGAGGGGGAAAAAGGAAAGGGAAGGGAAAGAGAACGAAATAGGGATCTTATGGACATAAATGATTCTCGTGTGCTACTTAAGATGTAATAGTAAAATATGGACATTTCACATTGTTAAGTGATAATAACAAGGATATAATGAAGAAAAACTTGCAAAAAAAGACTGCTGAATTTGAAAAATTGTACACAAGGACCTATTCACAAAAATTGTTGTTAAAATCCATATTATTGTTGTCAAAACACATTAATGTTCTAACTGGACCCTATTTGCAGTTTTTCTATTTCGGCGGTCTTTTTTTTTTCCGATTTTTCCTGTAACAAACACTATAAAAAGGCATTACTTTCACATTTAACATTTTCTAATCATCCAAACAGGGCCTAGAGAATTCTTTTTCATTAAACGAACTTAAAATCAATTTCTTAATTTGATCATACTTAAAATAACAACTAGCCATAGATAATTGGAACTTCCATGCAGTTTTTCGGTTTGATATAGACTCTTTTCTCTTGCAGTGGCCTTCCTTCTGGACTTGAATGTTTGCAACATAATTTTCCCTGTTTTCGAGGTCCTGGAAGATGTAAGTAACTCTAAGGATTGGTTTGCCATGGTAGGAATTAAAGCTGTAGAGGAACAGCATTTTCACACAACACCATCTTTGAATCTTTGACCTTGTTTGGTCATTTCTTCTCATATTTTCCTCATTATTCATTTTCCTTTATCATTCTGTGGAAAACTAGAGCTTTAGAGATGCATAATTTTGCTTATGTCACTCAAGAATTAAATGAACTAATTTCTTTTTTTTTTTAACTGATCGGAATAGCCATTTTAAATGTTTCAATGCAGATTATGACTTTGCTATCAAGTGTGCTGGTCCTCAAATTACAACATCAGATGGAACTAAATTTGAAAGTGAGAAGGAGACACTTGGTGCTGCTACTTATTTTGTTACTGATACAAGAAGATGGGCAGTTAGCAATGTTGGGTTATTTACTGGTTCACACAATCCTCTATATAACAGATCTGTGCTTAGTCAGTTCACTAATACCTTGGACCCAGAGCTCTTCCAGACTGCTAGGATCTCTCCTTCTTCATTAAGATATTATGGCCTGGGCCTCGAAAATGGGGATTACAATATCTCCCTCTATTTTACAGAAATGTCTATTTTAGATACTACTACATGGAAAAGTTTAGGAAGACGATTTTTCGATATTTATATCCAGGTATATATAATGTTATTTAAAGCCATTATTAGACTGTAATAGCCTAAATGGAAGTCCATAAATTTCTTAATAGATCGCCTTGTCTATTTGTCTATAGGTTAGGTCAAGTAGAAGATTAGTATGTGTAGGAAAAGTCCTGCCCTCAAATCATCAATTGAATACACATAATTGGGCAAATTTTGTTTTGCCTTGAAATTCTGGTATATGCGACAATGCAACATCGTGTATTAGAAACCCACAATGAGAACATTAGAAACCCAATCTTATTCCTTTTGTCTGTTGACATCTATAATGTTCATTCAAAAAATTTACTAAAATGACATTTCATCTAAAATTTGCATTAAGTAACACATTGTAAATATAATGAAAAAAATGCATGACTAGTATCATGGGCTTTTAGATAATAGTTTAAGTTTTTTCAATCAAAATTGTACTAAGCGCGATGCATGACGTTTCCTTTCCAAAGGCACTGCATACTTGAATTATTGCAACACATTCTAATCCTATACTTTTGGCTTATTAATTAAAGCATTGCATCTTTTAATTCTAGAGGAATATTGCTAAACTTTTTATAAGAAGATATATGAATATTTGACGTTCAAACTTTTTGTCATGATTCCTATTTGAAATGTCCACTCTTTCCTATTCCCCCTTGTTTTTGCCTCCATTTGCTTCTTTCTCATTTTTCTCATTTGATTCCAGGGGAATCTTGTTTGGAAGGATTTTAACATAAAAAGGGAAGCTGGGGGAGCCTCTTTTAGAGCTGTCCAAAAGGATTTTCGTGCTCATGTGTCAGAAAACTATCTCGAGATCCATCTCTTTTGGGCTGGAAAAGGGACATGCTGTATACCAGACCAAGGTACTTATGGCCCTATGATTTCAGCTATCAGAGCTAGCCCAGGTAAAAATTTACCAAAGTGAGCAGTCTTGAAGTTTAGTTACTAACATTCTAAGACAAAATTTTTTTGATGTGTGACCATGATTTGGTTTGCTTGTGTGTTGTATAGATTTCATTCCCACGGTTAGCAATAGACCTCCAACCAATAAAAAGGACAGAACTGGTTTGATTGTGGGAATTGTTGTTGGTATTGGAGTAGTAAGCTTTCTGTCTTTTCTTGGGGTTTTCTGTATCATTCAAAGAAGAAAGCATCATGAAGATGGCAATGAAGGTACAAAAAGAAAAAGAAAAAAAACACTCTTGTTTACACACATACAACTCTTTAAACTGTAACTGTTCATATTCAAAGTAATAAATTGGTTTCTTTTTCAACCCATAACCTTGTTCATGCTTAATTTGCAGAGCTATTAGGTATTGATATGAAGCCATACATGTTCAACTATTCTGAGTTAAAGAATGCTACAGATGACTTCAATCCTAGCAACAAGTTAGGCGAGGGAGGTTTTGGTCCTGTTTATAAGGTGAATATTCTGTAAAAAGATTTGGAATGACAACTGCATCGCATGCCACTGCCTCATCATTATCAACATTACTGATGAGACTTGTGACATATGTATAAATAAAAAAGTTTAGGGCTCTACTTTGTTGAAGGATAAAGTTTTTACTTATAGAAGTCCTAAAACCAAAGCCATAGAATTTATTTAAGAGAATAATCATTTTTCCTTTTGAATTCCAGGGAACACTTAATGATGGAAGATTAACTGCTGTGAAACAATTATCTGTAGGATCTCATCAAGGAAAAAGCCAGTTCATAGCTGAGATTGCTACTATATCTACTGTGCAACATCGTAATCTTGTTAAATTATATGGATGTTGCATTGAAGGAAATAAAAGGCTTCTTGTTTATGAGTATCTAGAAAATAAGAGTCTTGATCAAGCATTATTTGGTATAATCATTCTCTACTTCCTGCGTGATTTTGGAAGCCTATATATTGGCAAAGCTTTTTGGCCTTTGCTTTTATTCATGTTGATTAAACTTAGCATGTATGTCACCTGCATGCTGCAGAAAATTGTTTAACTCTCAACTGGCCCACACGCTATGATATCTGCATGGGCATAGCAAGAGGTTTAGCTTATCTTCATGAAGAGTCTCGGCTTCGCATTGTGCATCGAGATGTAAAGGCTAGTAATATCTTGCTTGATCGCGAGCTTGTCCCTAAAATATCTGATTTTGGTTTGGCCAAATTATACGATGATAAAAAGACGCATATAAGCACTCGTGTAGCTGGGACAATGTAACTCCATGACTTAATTTCCATGTTCTTTTATGCTATACAAGTTTACATATGTTTTATTTGTTTATGCTAATACTTTCATATTTTTATTTTGATAAACTATAAACTATTAATAGTGGATATCTTGCTCCGGAGTATGCCATGCGTGGGCACCTTACAGAGAAAGCAGATGTGTTTTCTTTTGGTGTTTTGGCCCTTGAGATAGTTAGTGGAAGGCTGAATTCTAATTCAAACTTGGAAGGGGAGAAGATCTATCTACTAGAATGGGTATGTGCTACCTCTTTGTTTCCTAAGAGTAAGATGCATTTGGTTTATGAAAACATTTTCTGTTTCCACTCTCTATTTTGACCTGCAAGTTTTCTTTATATAGAAAATATGTTGTTCTGTTTAGTTAAAAATTTGACTATAAATTGACATAAGTGGCCATAAAAAACCTTTTAGCAAGTTTCTTTTTGCTTTCTAACAATAAAAACCTTTGGCAAAAATGACCATAACACTTGCTTACAAATGGCACCAATCATTTAGCAAAAATGTTGAAAATCTCTTCCAAAAAAAGAATTGTCCCCTATATTGATGAGTATTATATTGTCGGGTATACTGATAGAGAACGGAAGGTCTGTGCTAGGCATGGGAAAGCCTAGAATTTAGTTATTTCATCTTATTGTATTTAGTTTTAAGTTAGTTTGAATATTATCATCTTATAGAAGCATATATTTTAGGTTTAACTTACTTAGATTATTATGATGTTAATGATTGTAAATAGCATGAGAGTTTTGCAGTTTATTAGATGTTCCATGTTTTGAAGAAACTATTGAGTATATGCAGATTGTGAATATCTCATTTTATTTGGAAGAGTTCTGATGTGTCATCATTCTTAAATTATGATTTCTCCGCTTCATCCAATATTTCCTTAACTAATTTTAATGATGTTTGAGTCGACAGGCTTGGCAGCTGCATGAAAATAACTGTATAGTTGAACTGGTAGATCCTAAACTATCATCAGATTTCAATGAGGAAGAAGTTAAAAGAGTTGTAGGGATATCTCTTCTGTGCACTCAAACTTCACCACTGGCAAGGCCAGCAATGTCTCGAGTAGTGGCAATGCTTTCTGGAGATATGAAAGTGAGCACTGTAAGTTCAAGGCCTGGTTACTTGGTGGACTGGAAATTTGATGATGAGTATAGCTTCATGACTGGCTTGGCCACAAAGGGATCAGAGACGGGTCAGTATAACTCATCCACAACTACGACCATTGTCACTGCTTCAACTGCAAACCAATCACCTGTAGACGCTTCTAAACCCATGCTACGTCACATTCTTAGTGAAGGTAGATAAGAATTATGGCATTTCCTGATGGCCCATGTGGATGGTATATGCAAGGGAATGACATTATGTTTTCTGATATTTTGATTTCAAAATCTGTGTCCTTTTATTTTTATTTTAAAATTTAACACAATTGAACACATGAAAATATACAAACATGTCAATGTTGGCTTGAACTTGAGTCCTCGTCCAAGCATGGTAGGTGGGCAGTGGTGTTGACATTATGATAACTGGCGGTTAGATATGTGTTGTTTGTATCAGAACCTCTATATTATTATTTATAATTACTTATATGTGACCTCTTTTAATGCCTCTCACCGGAGTGCATACGGACGTGTCCATCTAACTGGGTAACTTAGGTTCAGTCTCTATTGTTTTACTTGTAGGAGAAAATTTTGTTACAAGCTTCTCGGCTTCAAGCTTCTTCCACGTTAGTATAATAGCTAAAATTGCTTTTTCCTCTTGTCAAACCCATCCAATAATTAGTTTGGTTGTTAATTTGAAATTTTTGCTGATGATTGAAATTATAGCACTAATCAATGATATGATATTTTTGAGATATTCTTTACCAACATGCTTTCGAAAAGTTACTTTTCCTCTTTTGCGGCCGTTGATCCAATTAGAATATTGCAAAAGAAGAAGAAATGCAGGTAATGGAGGTTAGGAGTTAGAAATTGGTGGGAAAAAATAAAATATTAGAATTAACTGACTAATACACTCGTCATATATATTTCATTCCATCAAAATGAAAGTTGTGTGAATTCTATATACACAGATTTGAACACATTTTGGACTAGCTTAGATCAAATTGTCAAATTGAAATATAACAATTGATATTTTCTCACCACCATGCAATGAATTGACACATAAAACTCGATGTCAACCATTTTGTTCCACTCTTCTAAAGCAGCATTTGTAATTGGTCTTATCTCACTTATCTTCTCTTTGTTTCATTCCCAAAATTCAGCCTTTAATACCTTCCATCAAGTAATTTTTACCATCTTCACATAATGATTATTGTGTCATTAATAAGGACACTAAATACCACATCAAAAATGAGCCAACACATAATGATTATTATTCTATCAACAAGATCTCATCAAAACATGTAGAGCTAAAATTTACAAATTTACAATAGAAATACGAACTTTCACAATGCAAAATCACCATTTATCTGGACAACTAAAATTCATGAATTTACAATACAAATAAGAATTTTCATGACACAAAATCATCGTTTTTTAGACAACACACTATATATTCACTATCCACAACACAAGAAATTGAAGAACCATGACGGAGGGTGAGAGTCAAGGTGAGGTAGTGGTGAAGGGAATGACAAAGTCGCTAGAGAAACTTGAAGAGGGGCTCCACAGTTGTTGTGCAACTTAATGGCATGAGCAACAAACTTTTTCCCAAAGGGAGTGGCCTAGGACCCAGATTTATTGAAGCTTCAGAAATTCTCCACACCTTGAAGATGCGTAAAAGAGAAAGATCGAGTAACAAGAGCACCATAAAGCAGTCATAAGTGACGATGATAGACTAAGAAGATTAGGAAAACGAGGATCCTATACAACTTCAGTCGTGGCGATGAAGACAAAAGGCAAAAAACAAAGCAGAGCTGGATGAGGGAGTGAGCTTCAACCTGGGTTTATAAGGGGCAACAAGGTCCTTTTACTAGATAAGTTAATTTTATTTTGACCCTAAAAGACTGCAGTGATGTTTCAAAATTATTTGGGGTGGAATGAAATTAAATTCCTATAGCAGTCTGTTAATGAAATTCTCCCAAAAAAATACGTTACTTTTAATTCCTTATAATGTTCTTTTTTTTCCAGTAGCACCCAGTATCTTAAAGTACTTGTTGGTGCATTTGCTATTTTGAAACACTTTTTCAGCAATACTTAGAATTGTAATTTTTTCCAAATTCCAACTAGCCTACTTATGCCAAAATTCGGTTATAATATGTCTAGTGAAATCTTGATATACAATAAAATCCCCTTTAAAGGAAGCTAATGTAAATCATCAGAGTGGGCTCATATTTAGAATTCAGAAATAATCAGTGAAAGGAAAAAATTGTCAATGAAGTACTAAGGTGGTCTATTATTTGGTTCCCATAAGGGCTTGTTTGGTTTGAGGGGAGGGGTACGGGAAGGAGAGAAGGGAAGGGTAGGGTTAGAGATGGTGAGGACGATTTTAGTTTTACCTTGTTTGATTTGATTAAAGAGAAAGGGAAGAAGAGATATTTAATAATCCCTTATTTAGGTTAAAAGAGGAAAGGAAGTGATAGTGATAATCAATTTACCACTTTATCCCTATATGTTAGTTTGCATTTTTATTTATATGTTATATAACTTAATTTACATCTTAATTAAAATTATATAATTTAATAAAAATCCAGTCTTGTCATATTAATATGGGTATTAAAAAATTGGTGCAGTAATTTTTTTATTCTAACTAATATAATACATTTAAATAATCAAATTAACAAATTTTAGATGCTCTAAAAATGAAATTTTTGTTCTCTTTTGGTCATGCTTTTTCTTTCAGTTTTAAAATAAATTTTAATTAATAAAATAATATATATTTAAAAATTAACTAAAATTATAATAATATAATTTTTTATTGTAATGATATTTTTTAGTTAAATTAAATTTTATCATGATATTTTTTAAAATTATAATAATATATTTTCTATTTTCTACTTAAAATAATGTATTTTTTATTTAAAACAAATTTTACAATAATATATTTTATGGGTAATAATAATGACAAAAAATACAAAAGTAAAATGGTCCAAAAATTTAGCTCCCCTTCAAAAATTCCAATTTGAAGGGGAGTCAAAATGGGAGTAGGGGAGGGACCCTCCAAAATTTCTAACCATATAAGGGAGGGACTCGTTTTCCCTCACTTCCCCCAACTTGCACTCCAGCGAAACCTTACTATGAGAATAAAACAAGCTAAGGAAAAAAAAATCATATACATAATATATTTTAAGAAGATCAAGTAATATTTATTATAATTAAGTAATTCATATAATTTTCTTAATTTAGACAATTTAATTAAGTAATTTTTATATTCCAATACAGGAGGAATATACCATTGCATCCCATTTAAGTTGCATACCCAAAGGTGTTCGTTGTGCCGTGCCCATTTCAATGCTTGCTTGATTAAGGAATATTGAAAACAAACAAAGTTTCACTAATCAAAACATGACATCTATTTCTCATATTTATCAATTATTCTTCTAAATCACCTTTTTTATTCTCTTTTAACAATAATCAAGTAAGAGAGGGATGTAAGATATTAAAAAAGATGATTACGGTGTTTTAGGAAAAACATATTATATTTATTATAATTAACTAACTTACCTAAACTTTTTTAATCTAATCAAATTAATTAAATATGTCTCACTTCAATATTACCCCCATGGAGTATTTTCATGGTGCTGTAGCCATCAATTGCATATAGGTTTTTGTGGCCGAAGAACATCTTCCCATGGTAGAATTACCTCCTTAGGCACCAAACTTCCACAACATGTTCTGCTTCTCCTTTCCTAGTTCAAAGTTAAAACCATCAATTCTGCTTAACAGCTGTCCCTAGCGTTTACCCAGAAGTCCCTAGACTTCGTTGGTCCACTTGACCACTCCTGGTAGTAAATCTATCAACATTTTCTTCCCAACCGTTCTCCTTACTCCACGTTTCTCTGACAAATAAATCATTCAAAGCCATAGTGGAGGAGACCCATGATGCCACAAACCGATCGAAAAGGACATCAAACTTCCGTTATTGTTGTAATATTTTGGTCCATTGAGAACGCAATTGTTATGATTGCAGAAAGCAGTAGATTTTTTCTAGGTAAATGCCGCTGTTCACCTACCAATTAACGTTTCAAGTTCTGTAAAATTAGAATAATTAGAGTTTGTCAATGACTTATGAATATCGAAGATTCTATGCTAAATTTTTTAGCATCTTATATCTAAATAGCACAAACTTTATGATAACATTGATTCTTAAAAATAATTTCGAGTCAACATTCAAATTCTTGAACATACTATTGATTCTTAAAAATAATTACGACTTAACATTCAAATTCTTCAATATGCTTTCCCTTTGATCAATATAAGGGAGCATGAAATAATGTTCCAAGTGATTATAAATCAAGTAGGGTTGGGAGATTATCAAGGTCAATCTCTTCGGTCTCTGTCTCTTGGTAAAAATATTTCTATTTCCTTAAATGAAAATTTAGTCCAGTCATCTACCATGTAATTACTATCCCCACCATTTATTGAATATTGAAACACTTAAGACAATTAATTGTGCGATTTTTAATTATTGACAAAATTGTAACTAGTTTAAAATATTAAAATTATTATAAATTCTAAGGAAATTTGATAGATATATTATTTTACAAATAATTAAAAATAAAAATATATTTAAATCGATCGCAGCTATTCTAAATTTTGATGGTAAAACTTATAAATATGGGTACTTAATAAATTTGAAACATAAAAAAAAAAAGGTTAATTCAGAAGCCATCTGAATGTCAATTTCTAAGTCTCACAATCTGTATTTGACCAAAAAAAAAAAAAAGAAGTCTCACAATCTGTCGGCACATTCCCCGCAGACCCTCTTATACGTTTATGAATGATTTTCGAATTTGAAACTTGAGTTTCACCTTTTTGGGACAAATTTAACTCCATTAGCATTTAGAACTCGAAACACCCGTCACCAACAAGAGTTTAACTTAGTTTATTGAAGGACTTGAGTACAAGTTTTGACCATATACTTCCTCATATTTTTATTATAAGTCCTATTTAATTACTTAATAGAATTAAGAAAAGGTGATTCACTTGTTAACTTTGTCCGATATGAATTTTTTCCCTTTGACTCATATTTAAGAGCATAGAAAAGCACGCCATTAGACTTCAGACTTTAGGAGGTTGCACATTGATGATCCTGCCAATATATGGTGTTGTATCATTCCACGTGGCTTTTGTGCTTTTGAGAATGTGGTCAGAGACTCGGCTCTGGGTCTGTGGATATATATGTATACTCGTGTATGAATGTATAGATATTCTGCAAAATCCTCGGAGCAATCCCCGTATGTATATCCATTTTGATATCTCGGAATCTCTATTAGTTTGTTGTGCTTCTGAATTATAGCAAGCTATACATCTTACTCTTGCATACACACACACACACATCCATGTCTCTGTCGTCTCCTTCTCCTTCTTCTGCTTCACCGGTCTTAGTTTTTACAATTGCTTCCGCTTTTTGTGTGTGCTTGGCTG